TATTCAGACCTGCGTGAGCTTTTGTGCGGACTTAAATTTTCATTTCTCTGGATAAATGCCCAGGAGTGCGATTGCTGGGTCATGTGAGATAGTGTATGTTGAATTTTTTTAAGAAACTGCGGAACTGTTTTCCCGAGTGGCTATACCATTTTACATCCCCACCAGCAATGTACGAGAGATCAGATATCTGCATCCTCGCCATCATTTGGTATTGTCACTGTTTCTTATTTTTGCTGTTTTATTCGTTTTGTGATGACATCCTATCGGGGTCTTAATCTGCACCTCCCTGATGGCCGGTGGTCTTGACATTCTGTCTTTCCCCTGCTCGCTTGCTCTCTGGATCTGCTCTCTGGCGAAACATCTCAATATCTTTTGCTCATGTTCTCACTGGGTTGTTTGTCTTTTTAACTGTTGAGTCTTGAGTGTTCTTTACATACCCTGAGTGTGAGTCCTTTGTCAGATGTGTAGGTGGCGAATATTTCACACAGTCCATACTTGTCTTTTCAGCCTCGGAGGAGCCTTTGCAGAGCAAAAGTTTTAATTTTGATGAAGTCCAATTTGTTGATATTTTTCTTTTTTGAATCATGCATTTCGTGTCATTTCTAAGAACCATTCTTCAAGCCGTAGGTCCCGAAGATTTTCTCACATGCTGCAGTTGACGTTTTGAGTTAATTTTGTATATAAAGTACGAGGTTTGGGTCAAGGTGCTTTCCTTGTTTCTTTGCCTATGCATGTCCAGTTGCTCCAACACCGTTTGTGGAAAAGGCTGTTCTGTTTTTCCTCTGTTGACTTGCTTTGGGATCTTTATGGAAATCGATTGGTCATACCGTGTGGGACCACCTCAGGTTCTCTGTTATATTCCATTGATCTAGATGTCTGTTCGTTCACCAATACTGTATAGTCACAATTACTGCAGCCATCTGGTCAGCCTCGAAATTGGGGAGAGTGATTCCTCTCACTTAATTTTTTATTTTCAAAATTGTTTTAGCTAATTTAGTGCCTTTCCATATAAATTTTAGAATAACCATATTTGTATCCATAAAAGATCTTGCTGGGATTTTATAGAAATTGTGTTAGAGCTGTATATGAATTTGGAGAGATTTGATATCATTAATATTTTGAAGCTTCCAATCCATGAACATGGTATGTCCTCCATTTATTAGCTCTTCTTTAATTTTTTTCATCAACTTTTTATAGTTTTTAGCATTCAAGTCTTATACATTTTTACTTTTATATAAACCTGAATATTTCTCTTTTTCGTAATTGTTAATAGTATTGTATTTTAAATTTTAGTTTCTACGTGTTCATTGCTTGTATATAGAAAGGCAAATGACTTTTGTGGACCGGTTTTATATCTGGTGACCTTGCTGAATTCACTGGAATTCTAGGAGGGTTCTGTTTTGTTTTGTTTTGTTTTGGTAGGTTTTTTGGAATTTTCTGCCTAGACTGTCATTTCAGATATGCTTAGTTTTGTTTTTTCTCTCTAATCCGTATACCGTATGTTTCCTTACCTGACCGCACTGTCCGAACGTGCATTGCCGCTGAATAGCAGCGACCTAAGCGTGTTCTCGTCTTCCCCCGGCCCTAGACAGGAAGCATACAGTCTCTCACCATTAATTATGATGCTGGCTCTAGGGTTTTGTGTCCCTATTTTTTATCAAGTTAAGGAAGTTCTCTATTCCTGTTTTTCTGAGAGTTTTTGTCATGAATGAGTAGTAATCTTTTCAATTCCCATGTCTGTCTTTCTAGCCAGATTCTGAGTTTCTGGGGATGACACCCTGCTTCATAACGTTGTGTTTCCCAGAGTGCCTGGCTGGGCACTTTGCCCCGAGGAGGCACCAGACAGGTTTCCGGGTCAGGATTGGGCATGTCACTGATGGCAGACGCGTATGCACCCTGCTGGCACTCAAAGGGTCGTCCCTCACCAGACAGTCCTGGTCTGGAGAGATCGCAACTACTGTCTTAGGCCACCATGAGCTTTTTAACAGCTTTCATTGTGAAGTAATTCTAGGTTCACAGGACCTCGCAGAGAGAGCACAGAGCAGCGTCGCCCATTTACGTAGCTGCGGTGAAATGCACTGTGAAAACCAGGGACTGACGCTCGCACAGCGCGTGTGGCCCTGTGACACGTTGGCACACGTGAGGATTCGTGGGAGCACTGCCGTCAAGACACGGAACTGCTCTGTCCCCACAGAGGTCTCCCCGACGCCGCCCCTTCGCAGTCTCGCACCCCGCCTTCCTCTGGCAGCCCCTACTTTGTTCCCAGCTCTATAATCTTGTCGTTTCAGGGGTGTTCTGCAACCGGAATCACACAGCATGTGACCTTTTGAGATGGCCTTTTTCACTCGGTGGCTGTGCGTGTCAGTAGTTGGTCCTTGTGTCTGGCCGAGCGTCGTCCGCGGTGGGGCACCGACTTCAGCCGCGCGTCTGCCGAAGGGCGACCGGGTTGTCCCCGCTTTGGGGCTGTTATGAATAAAGCTGCTGTATTCAGACCTGCGTGAGCTTTTGTGCGGACTTAAATTTTCATTTCTCTGGATAAATGCCCAGGAGTGCGATTGCTGGGTCATGTGAGATAGTGTATGTTGAATTTTTTTAAGAAACTGCGGAACTGTTTTCCCGAGTGGCTATACCATTTTACATCCCCACCAGCAATGTACGAGAGATCAGATATCTGCATCCTCGCCATCATTTGGTATTGTCACTGTTTCTTATTTTTGCTGTTTTATTCGTTTTGTGATGACATCCTATCGGGGTCTTAATCTGCACCTCCCTGATGGCCGGTGGTCTTGACATTCTGTCTTTCCCCTGCTCGCTTGCTCTCTGGATCTGCTCTCTGGCGAAACATCTCAATATCTGTTGCTCATGTTCTCACTGGGTTGTTTGTCTTTTTAACTGTGGAGTCTTGAGTGTTCTTTACATACCCTGAGTGTGAGTCCTTTGTCAGATGTGTAGCTGGCGAATATTTCACACAGTCCATACTTGTCTTTTCAGCCTCGGAGGAGCCTTTGCAGAGCAAAAGTTTTAATTTTGATGAAGTCCAATTTGTTGATATTTTTCTTTTTTGAATCATGCATTTCGTGTCATTTCTAAGAACCATTCTTCAAGCCGTAGGTCCCGAAGATTTTCTCACATGCTGCAGTTGACGTTTTGAGTTAATTTTGTATATAAAGTACGAGGTTTGGGTCAAGGTGCTTTCCTTGTTTCTTTGCCTATGCATGTCCAGTTGCTCCAACACCGTTTGTGGAAAAGGCTGTTCTGTTTTTCCTCTGTTGACTTGCTTTGGGATCTTTATGGAAATCGATTGGTCATACCGTGTGGGACCACCTCAGGTTCTCTGTTATATTCCATTGATCTAGATGTCTGTTCGTTCACCAATACTGTATAGTCACAATTACTGCAGCCATCTGGTCAGCCTCGAAATTGGGGAGAGTGATTCCTCTCACTTAATTTTTTATTTTCAAAATTGTTTTAGCTAATTTAGTGCCTTTCCATATAAATTTTAGAATAACCATATTTGTATCCATAAAAGATCTTGCTGGGATTTTATAGAAATTGTGTTAGAGCTGTATATGAATTTGTAAAATTTTAGTTTCTACGTGTTCATTGCTTGTATATAGAAAGGCAAATGACTTTTGTGGACCGGTTTTATATCTGGTGACCTTGCTGAATTCACTGGAATTCTAGGAGGGTTCTGTTTTGTTTTGTTTTGTTTTGGTAGGTTTTTTGGAATTTTCTGCCTAGACTGTCATTTCAGATATGCTTAGTTTTGTTTTTTCTCTCTAATCCGTATACCGTATGTTTCCTTACCTGACCGCACTGTCCGAACGTGCATTGCCGCTGAATAGCAGCGACCTAAGCGTGTTCTCGTCTTCCCCTGGCCCTAGACAGGAACCATACAGTCTCTCACCATTAATTATGATGCTGGCTCTAGGGTGTTGTGTCCCTATTTTTTATCAAGTTAAGGAAGTTCTCTATTCCTGTTTTTCTGAGAGTTTTTGTCATGAATGAGTAGTAATCTTTTCAATTCCCATGTCTGTCTTTCTAGCCAGATTCTGAGTTTCTGGGGATGACACCCTGCTTCATAACGTTGTGTTTCCCAGAGTGCCTGGCTGGGCACTTTGCCCCGAGGAGGCACCAGACAGGTTTCCGGGTCAGGATTGGGCATGTCACTGATGGCAGACGCGTATGCACCCTGCTGGCACTCAAAGGGTCGTCCCTCACCAGACAGTCCTGGTCTGGAGAGATCGCAACTACTGTCTTAGGCCACCATCACCATCCGCGCAGGGGTTCGAGGCAGAAACGGAGTCATGGGCGGCAGACTGGTGCTGCAGCAGAGAGGTGGCCGAGGCGGAGCTGTTCCCCGCTCTGCCCCGGGCGTTGGAGGGGAGACTCTTCAGGACGCTGCCAACTGAGAACCGTTGAGTTGTCCGCTCTCGACAAGGAAATTGCATGTCGTGCGACTTATGGTCCGATGAATCTGTTATTTATCTTAAGGAAGTGCCAAGTGGGCCGTGACGTCCTGCTGCTCTCTGTGCTGGGGGCCGTTGTCTGAGTCCCGCCAGCCCACGAGGCTTTTCAGATAGGCCCCCACTGTTCTCTGCTCACCCCAGAGAGTATGCAGTGTGTTCCCCAGACTCAGAAACACCCTTAGGTGCTGCTGTGCGGCTCATTTCGTAGCGCTCTCCTGAGAAGGATGCCGTAGCCCACCTTGCCGCCAGGGAGGCCGTTGTCACCGACAGCCAGCTCAGTGTGGGCTGTTTCTCCAGCCCCCTGACGCTTGTTTATGAGGTAGGAAAAGGGCAGAAAACGCTCACTTTATTTTTAACAGCAAGGAAATAAGCCAAAGGATGAAGACTTGTCTGTCATCACGGACAGTGGTGCCCGAGATCTAGACCACGGCCCCCGGCCCCGTGCCAGTGGGTGGCCACCTGTCTCGTGTCACGTTGCGGTCTCCTGTCCCCTGACGGCTGACCGCCTGTGTTTGCGTCCCCCCCCCACCCCGTTCTCACTGAAATATGTGGCTGCGTCCCAGGATCAGGGAGCTGCCAGGTCGTCATCCTGGTGGTTTAGGACATCGTCTCACTGACGGGTTCGTTTCCAGCGTTCGTTCTGCTGGTTTCTTGCCACTTCTTCCTCGTTCAGTTGTGTCCTGTCGAGACCTTTCCAGGTGCTCGACAGCCGAGGGCCAGCCTGTCGCGTGGTGGGTGCACACATGTCTCGATCCGGTCGTGTGCCTAGGAGCTCAGGCATCCGGGCCTGGCCGAACAACCAGGGAACGAATCGGGCAGCGGATTTGGTGGCCGTGGCTTCCCGCTGGACGCCAAGCAGCCGTACCGAGGTTCTCGGTCGTGGGTCCGTCTCGGGCTCACAATCAAACCCTTTTTGTCCCTTCCGTTTCCCAGGGCTCCAAGGTCCTCGTCGATGCACGGGACAAGCTCGGTATTCCCTGGCAGTATTCCGAGAACGAAAAGCACGGGATGCTCCTCATGGCCTTCGAGAACAGCCCGGGGCTGCCCGTGGAGCCGGCCACCTTCCAGCTGTACGTCCCCGCCCTCAGCGCCCTGTGGAGGGACTCGGGCATCAGAGAAGCCTTCAGCCGGAGGAGCGAGTTTCAACTGGTGAGTGAGCCGCGGGGCCGTGTTTTAAATCCACGACAGAAACACACAACAGTGGCAAATTACACTATCTAAATGGTTGGAGAGGGAGCAAAGTTAACCCACTCGGGCTAGGTGTTCGTTCAGGAGCGTGGGGAATTCTTAAAATAGTGAAGATCAGTGTAGGTCAGGGAGCTCGGTGTTTTTAGGTCTTGTTCACAGAGGGAATTCATGCCTCCTTGAAGCAGCTTTCCAGCCTGGCCAGACAGGGGTGATTTAGGTCAGCGCCCTGGAGGCCGGGCTGGGCCCTTCAGCGTGTTCCCTTCAGACCCTTTCACCTTAAGGTCTGGGCGTTTCAAAAAGCCTAGTCGTTTTTGTCGTTTAGATCATTTAGAATGTGAGTCTACACACGAGAAGTTCGGGGTGCTGCCCCGGGGAGCCGGGCAGGCTCACACAGGCCGCGCACCCCGCAGCGTGCTTCCGTGGGCAGGTGGCAGAAGTGGCCACGCGCCTGTCTTAGGCAGTGAAGGGCCCCGCTCGGCCCAGCCGTGACAGTCCTGGGGCAGAGGGCGGGTGGGAGCTCTAGTGGGCCTTGGACGGCTTGTCTGCGCTTGGCCATCTCCAGTGTGGCTTCCCCGGTGGCCGGGACCTGGCGGCCACGGGACAAGGCCTCAGCCGTGCACACAGCAGCATGAGCAAGGAGGGGCCGGGCCTGGCGGCCGGGGGCGCCTTACAGGGTCGGTGAGGCCTGGCAGACCCTTCATGCCGTGCCCCGCGAGGCTGTGCTGGGGGTGACGACAGCGCTTCCTGCGGCCACGCCACCAGCTGAAGATCACCTGTGCGCTGAGGGGCCACTGGGGTTCAAAGCACCAAAGTAATGGCTGCGGCTTGCGATCCTTCCAGAAATCACTGGCGGTCGTGTGCAAGGTGGACTGGGCACCAGCCGGATGGTGGTTCTGTTGAGGGTCCAGTTAAGAGGCTGTCAGGACCTGGGCCTGCAGAAGCGGTTTTGGTGCTTGACCTCACGTCTCATGATCCACCCCTACTGGTCTTTGGCACAGCTCCTTGCTGTTATCCCTCTGTCACCATCATCGTCACGCTTCCCTCCAGACGTGCCATGTGAGCGGGCCGGGGGGTCAGCGGGTGCGGAACCGGCTGGATCGGTGGGGCCCGTCTTTGCCTTCCGGGATGTTCTCCGGGAATGGCGGTCGAGCCGTTGCATTTAACGGCGCGGCTGCCCTGGCGAGGGGTAGCGTCCCTTGCCCAGAGGGTTGACAGCTGTCCTAGGAGCGCGCCCCCGGTTAGAGCCCTCGCCTGGCCGCAGCTGCCCGGCTCTGGGTCCAGCACGTGCTCGCTCGGCTGTCGGGGGCCCCCAGCGAGTGGGGGCGCCGCACGCGCAGGGCCCGGGGCCTCCTTCCCTCCGATGCTCTTGCTTCACCCTTCTGGGATGTTTAAAAACGTTCACTGACTTGTGAATCGTTTGTACGCCCCTTTGATTTTGCTTTCGGTGGCAGGGCACGGTGCTTTCTGGAAAACGGCCTTATTTCTCTGGGCTTTGGGAGGTGGGGGTGGAGGCCCGTTCAGAGGGGTCTGCGGGTGTCGGTGGCGCAGTGCCGCTTCCTTTCCGGAAGTCCGAGTGGCTCTGCTGTTAGAGGTGCCGCCTCCTGCCGCGCTCGGAGCACTCGGGTGTCTGCGGCATTAGCAGAGACGCCAGCAGGGGTGGGTGGAGGGCTGTGTGCGGGCGCTGCCCCCCGACAACCAGGGCAGAGTGAAGCTTTGAAGGGAAACCGTCCTGCGGCTCCGTGAGTCGCATGCCCGCTGTGAGTGGTCACCAGCCGGTTCCCGGCGTGCAGGCCACGCGTGCTGGGACGCCCGTGGCTTCGGAATCCGGGTTCATCGCATCGCTCCAGGCCCAAGCTGTGTCACCAGCAGTTCCCAGTCGCCTCGTCCCCTCCCCCACCCGGCGGATGTGGGCTCGTAGGGGCTGTGGAAGCGCGGTTTAGTCCTCAGGCTCGGGACGCTGCCGGTAAAGCGCCGGCACAGAGCAGCGCCCCAGACTCTCCATCGCGTTCCTGGAACGCACGTGGCTCGTGCCGTGTGGCAGTTACGTCTGCTTCGAAAAGAAAGGACCAGTCGCTTTTCCAAAGGTCTCGACACCACGCCTTAGCGTTCCTTTGGAAGTTTGCCTGTGCTCGTGCTGGTATGACTTTAATTGAGTTTCAAAATAGTTTCCGGGAGCTTTCTTAGTAAGAGGGCGGAGTGGAAGGAGGTGGTTTGTAGCGACAGCAACCTTTGTAACTTTTTTTGAGGCCATGGGAAACAAAGTGACTTACACCGAAGCTCAGTTTTATGCGTTTTCTGTGCCTGGCGCCATGGCCTTCTGGGAAAGGCGTCTGCTCTGTAAGGGCCTGGCAGTTACTCCCGGCCACTCCGGGAACAGTTGCACGGTAGCTGGTTGATGGGGAATAAGGCCTGAAGTGGCGAATGACAGCTCATGTCCCCGGGCCGTGTCGGTGGTGTGAGGGGTTCCAGGGTGTCCTGGAAGGCTGTTACTGGTCTGTCATCTCTGCCCGCCTGGTTTCCCCGGGCCACTTGGCGTTAGTTGTAAGCCTTTGGTCTAAGCCCTCTTTGCTCTGCTCTCGAGATACTTTATAGACCCGACTTAAAAATGCTGCCACCCCAGGTTTCAGGGCAGAGGAAGACAGGAGAACCCCGGAAGCTGTGAGGAGGGCGGTGCTTCGGCGCTGATGCTTCTTGTGCAGTTTGGGACATTTCAAAGACTCTCCTTAGAACCACTGGCGGGTCCCCCGCTGTCCGAGGCAGTCGGCGAGTGTTCCTGGGTGTCCGCACCGCCGCTGCGGGGTTTGCTGGCATGTCATGGAAAGCCCAGCACAGCGGTGACTTCTTTTCCCTCATGTAAGAAGTTCCGGAATAGCCAGGTCAGGGCGATGGCGGTCCCCGCGCAGACCCTTGCCAGTGGCCTGTCGTGTGACTCCTCTACTCAGGCTTGGTGCTGGCTGCATCCCAGACGGGGGGAGGGGTGGAAGGAGAGTCCACCCGCTTCCTTTTAGCGCGACTTCCTGCAGGCACCATCCAGCAGTCCTGGTGAGCCCCTTCGGCTGGAACATGGTCACATGGCCACACCTACAGGGAGGCTGCCGGGATCCCTTTGGGACCTTCTGCTGGATGACGGGGCGGGGAGGCGGGTGCTAGGTGGGAGGGCGGAGCCGGCTGTCAGGCGCTCCCACCCCCTCGGGAGCGGAGACCGGGCAGCCGAGACGCAGGCACCTGGGGCCACGCCTCCCGTCTTCCTGCCTTTAACTTTTATATGGAATTTATTCATTCAGCAAATATTCATGGAGCGGCCGCCATGTGTCAGGCGCTCTTGGAAGTAATGGAGAAATAGCGGCACACAAATACAAGACAAATCTGTGCCTGCACGGAGCTGGCCTTGTGACAGGAGGAGGCAGACAGTGAATAAACGTGTGTGCGTGTGCACGTGTGTGCGTGTGCACGCGTGTTCGCGTCTGAGGGAAAATCAGGCAGGGGCTCGGGTAGACACCGTGGACAGCGGGAGCCTGGGCAGGGGGGAGGGTGGCTGCAGACGGTTTCTTCAGTAGGTTCCTGGGTCTCCCCGCGTTTGTCCCCCTTCTCCCGTGGTGACCGAGTCAAGAGTACACCGCAGAGCCAGGCTGTGTTTTCTGCTCTCTGGTCAGGCGTAGCCATGGGACGAGGTTCGGAGTCTTGCTCTTCAAATGACTGGACATGTCCACTCCAGCCTGTGTCCTTTCCCAGGGTGACCAGCATCTGGAACATGTGCGGTCAGCACAAACCCACGTGTGGCAGCAGCGTGCAGAGCATGGCAGAGGTGCCCCCAGCCCACACCGTTTGAGCCCCTGTGTGTGGCTCTAGCCCTGTGTGATGCAGCTTCCCCGAGTGGCATCTGAGCCGGCTCTGAAGTGGGTGAGAGCAGGCTTTGTAGGTGTCCGGGCGCGTGAGGGCAGCGTCTGGCCCGCGGAGTAGCAGGTGCAAAGGGCCCGTGGCGGAAGTGAGCTTCGTGGTCCAGAGCGCAGCAAGGAGGCCTCCGTGAGACTGAGCCAGGGTGCAGCGGGGCCAGAGGCGACAGCTTTCCAGAGCAGAGGGCTCTGCGGGGCCGGTGAGAGGCCACAGGGCAGATGTGGGCTTTGGCAGAGGGGTAACATGGCTCGATTTATGTTTTCATAAGGTCGCTTTGGCAGCTGCATCCTGGATTACAGGCTTTCGTGGTGATCTGGGTGACAGATGATGGTGGCTCAAGTCAGCGTGATGCTGACGAGAAGTGCGCAGGTCTGTGCGTCTTAGAACTGGACAGGCACTTGGAGGCGTCTGGTCTCATGTCCGGTCTCACGCCCCTCCAGCCTGAGGGCGCCCTCGGCGTCAGCCCCGGGGCCAATTCGGGGCCCAGTGTTTTATCTCATGGTTTAGAATCGGGACACTGGTGGCGAGTCCCTTTTACTTTGCAAGTGGCTCCCCAGCAGTTCCTGTGTGCCAGCACCAGCGGGGTGTGAAGCGTATAGGACATCTCTGTGCCCACGGCCTCAGCCATGCCCGTGCGTCTAGTGTCTTCTCGGGGTGCTCTCTCCTGGGGACTCATTTCAGACCACCTGGCCGTCTGCAGGATCAGTCACTTCCATTACCGTGAGCCCCGCCAAGAGCAAAGGTCGTGAGCAGAGGGCAAGGTTGTAGCAGCTGAGGGGCACCCCAGTTACAGCTTCAGCCCCATTCTGTGCTGCTCAGGGACCAGCTGAGCTCTAAAGTTTCAACTGCTATTTAATTGGGGTTTAATCAGTGGAAACGGAAGTCAGCAAGTAGTTCCCATTTGTACTCGACACAGCTGCTGCTATGTCGGAGAGGACCTCCGTTCCCTCGGTCCCCCATTCCCTCGGTCCCCCATTCCTTTGGTCCCCCATTCCTTTGGCCTCCCATTTCCTCAGCCCCTTTTCCCTCGGAACCCCCATTCCCTCAGCACCCCCATCCTCTCAGCC